TCCCCGCCCCCCGGGGAGGCGCCCCTTCTCCCTTTCCTGCCGCTGCGACGGGCCCCCTGCGCCGCTGCCCTTCCCGGGACAGCGCTCCGAGCCTGGGCCCGGCACTGCCGGGGCCGTCCCTGCTGCCCTCGCTCTCCTCATCCCCCTTCCCCTTCTTTTCCAGCGTGAACTTTCCAAGGCTTCCCGGTGTGACACCAGCTCCCGCATCCTGAACTCCACCACTACCAACACCTACTGCCCGTAGCCGTAGCGCGCTGCTCCGCTGCCCCCGTGCAATAGCCGTTGTCTGCTGCATACACTAGCTGCCTGCCACAACGGGGAATGAAGGAGATACTGTTTTATAAATGCTTTTATTGGGGGAAATTGTCGAGAATATTTGAGATTAAAGGTTCAAGTACGCTGTCTTGCGGGGGTAGCACTTCAGTGGGTGCTGGCTGGGGGGCAGGCTCTGCCTTTCTGCACCCGCTCGGGGACAGACAGGCCCGAGGCAGAGGCGCGTTGGCCCTGCAGCCTCTTTGCCCCTTTTCTCTGTTTCTGTAGTTATTTTCCATCATGCTCGGGCCAGGGCCAAGCACCCTGCTGTGTCAGAGGGAGCTGTGGTGGCCCAGGGTTTTTGGGGATCCCAGGTGGGATCACCCCCTCCCTCCAGCCTGGATTCGGGCCCCTGTGGCCCTGCGGGCAGCGCTGGGACACTCTGTGCACCTTGGTTCATGAAATTCTGTTGTACGTGTCTGTCATGCCTAATTTGCACCATGTTATCACTACAGCCCCCACTGCTCTTAGTCCCAGTTCTGTCCCCTTGCTCTGTACATATAAATGTTTAGGGGAATAATGTGGATCTGTGTATATAGGTGCAACTCTCGGTGTGGGGAGGGGGCGGCTCTCCAGCCCTTAGCCCTGCCCTGGGCCCCGAGCTGTTTGTGGACACGGGCCTGGCCCACTGTGCTCTGCAAGCATTGCCCTATCTGTGCTTTAAAAAAGAGTCCTTTGTAATTAATAAAGAATTTCATTCCATTCTGCCGTGTCTTTCAGCCGTGCAGCCTCCCCGGCTGCAGCGCGTGCTCCGCTTGGGGCAGTGCTTCACCCTGCTCCATCCTCTCCCTCGCTGAAGACTCCT